GGGCCTCTCCACTTCTAAGTCCTCTCTTCCTCTTCCACCTCCTGGTGGGCATCACCTCTTCAGGGCATTTCAGGTCCACCCTTGTGCAGCACTCTTGTGCTGCTATACCAGCTCCTATCTGCTTCTCTCCAAGTTTGCCTTACCCACAAGTGGCTTGCCTTACCTAATATGTGAATGGAATCACCGTAAAACGCTCATTCATTAAAAAGCCCCAAAGGGTGGAGGGGGTGAAGGGCGCACAGGGAATGGGGAAAAAATAAGAACCAAGATACATCATGTACAGGTGCAAGCACCCAATGATAGATGTAAATGTATTGTATACCTAAAATGTACCAATAAAAGGATTTAAGAAAAAAAAAAAAAGCCCTACCTGCACACAGTCCTTTTGTGAACTGAGCCTTCCTGTCTGCCTGGTCCATGCTTTGCTCTTGCTATGAGCAGCCACATTCTCCCACTTTCATCTCCCCACTCCCCCTCCAGTGTCCTGGGTCCTGGCCCTCACACTCCCAGGCTTTCTGTGGAAGCTGCTCCCCCTTTGGCAATGTTTGGGTCCGTGCACAAGCTGGGGTCTGAGAAAGGAATGTGGGCGAGCACCTGCCAGCTGCAGGAACAGGTCAGGTGGCCTGTGCACAGGTGTCCCTGGGCTTTAGTCCCTGCCTCTTCCACCCCGAGTCTGCCCCCATGCATGCAGCAGCCCCGTCTTTGCCAAGCTTTAACACAATGCCAGAGTTAGAGCAGCGGCTCCATAAGAGGAGAGTAAATGATTAAAAACCACTTTGCTTTAATAGCGCTAATTTAATGTGTGGTGATTATAATTGGTTCCCTCTCCTCATTTCATTTGACACAAGAAAAGTTCAGATCTGTGCAAAATTCGAGCTGTTTCTTTAATCACTGGAGGAATCCCCTCTACTTTAAAGCAAAAAGTTAGGCCCATGGAACACCTCGCAGAGCAGCTCCATGGCTGTGGGTGGTGAGGAGCTGCTGTCCCCTTCCCCCGGGGCTGGGTAAGGAAGGATTTAGTGCCTGGAGCACCAGAGCAACCGGGCCACTCTGCTGTTTATTCAGAAACGATGCCAAGTAGCCGTGCTCTTTCCCGGGTGACATGTTATGGCCCCGGGCAGGAGGGGGTGGCCTGGGTGGAATGGCTCATGAGAGTGGTCCAGGGCCACTCTGGCAGGGAAAGTGAAAGACTGAGGTGTGTGTGCCCAGGGGAGCCTGGCAGGGTGGAGGCAGAGAGCAGCAGAAGTCGGCTCCTCCTGCCCATGGAGCTCAGAGGGAGCCCCCAAGAAACTGGGGTGTCCCCTACTGATGCAGCGATCTGCTGTCAACATGCGACTGATTGGCGAAGGGGCCCTGCGGCCTGGGGAGGGGACTGGAGCCAGCTTCCCTCCCTGTCCCCCATAGCCATGGCCCTGTGCACAGGACTGGATAGGTGACTGCAATCCAGACTCTGGGTCCAGGAGCTCTTAGGTGGGGTACGGTATGGGGCACGACAGCAGGTAGTGGCCAGGAAGCCCATTATCCAAGAAATTTGAGCCCGGTGTGATGGCGCACGCCTGTCATCCCAGCACTCTGGGAGGCTGAGGCAGGAGGGTCACACGTTCCAGCCCAGCCTGGGCAATTTCAGTCATTTGGCAAGACCCTGTCTCAAAATAAAAAAATTAAAAAGGGGCTAGGTTCAATCCTCAGTACTGGAAAAAAAAAAAAAAAAGGAAAGAAACAAAAAAGAGAAGAAAAAGTAAGAACAGCCTGCAAAGGTCCTGATCCTGAATGTGGAACCCCTGGGCTATTTGCACGACTCTGGACACCTCCAGTTTGTCACCATCTGGCTTGTATTCCAGGGTGCAGGATGTCCAGGGCCCTGCATGCCTGTGTACAGATGGGGTCTGCAGCCTCCCGGGCTCGGGCTTCCCCTAGGCTTGCAGCAGGTGGGTGGGTGGGGAAGTGGGGGACACCCAAGGGCAAGCTCAGAGCAACTTACTCCAGCATGGGTTTTCTGGTGCCCCATTGAAACAGGGTTTCTGGTGGTCTAAGTGGAACATATTCATCCCCAAGATGCAAACAGATTAAGCTTTCCAAGTGCAGTGTGAAGGGAAGGTCGTAGGTCCACCCATCACACCCCTCCTTATTTTGATAATCAGAATAAAATATTTTAAAGTATTTTTATAAAGAAAGTTGTTTTTAATCAGACATTTAAAAAATCTGTTATTATTTTTAATGTCTCCTGGTTGTCCTTTAGAAAAATGACTGCAGTTGATTTTTTTTTTTGAGGTGGTTGATTAATGGCATAGGACAAGAATACTTTGCATCTCTTCTCTAGAAAACAAAGGCATGGTATTTGCCTAGCAGTTGACAGCATTTAGACATGTATGGTGATAGCAGAAGAATCACTACCAGTTCTGGTTAAACACAGAGTTGTTCCGGTAACCAGATGGGTTTTGCTTGGCAGTTTATCAAGCAAAGTGTTTACTGGCTCTGGAAACCTATTCAGAGCACTCTGTCCTGGGCATTTGTGGTTCTTTTTATGTCCTTTTCCTCTGGTGGTTGTGGATTTGATGTTCTCATCAGTTTTACGGAGTGGTAATTTTATGTTCAGTCTTTGCTCAGCTTACTGATAGAACCTCCTTACATAATTATGTACTTATTTCCTTATAGATTTCCTATGAGACTAAATACGTAATTCCAGTTTTCATTACTCATGAATTAAAATTGAACAACATGTTTATTAGTGCTGACCACAAGGTTAGCGTTTCATAGCACCTAGAAGAGCTATCACACATCTTGTATATTTCATAATGTCCTGCATCTTTGTGAGAATCAGTGTACTGGTATTTTGAGTATGAGCCAGAGGTCTGTTCTTAAACTTCACATTTCACTACACATTGAATGTATCCATGTGATCTTTTCCTTAAAGACAAAGAAAGTAAGAAGAATGGTTGTACCCTTTCATCTATCCAGGGATTTGGAATTAAATTTTGACCAAGTTTTCCTAAGAGAGTATTCAGAGATCAAAGTCATTAGAATGATTACAGAGACAAACCCAAATCTAAAACCAACAAAGTGGGAGTGAATCGAGAAACTCTTATTAAAATGCATTTGGAATCCAAATTTCAGTATAGATTGAAAAACTAAAATGCCTTTATCAGAAATATTGACCATCCCAGTACCTGTAATGTTTTACAGTTCAGTTACATGAGTTCAGAAATAATATTCACTGCAGTGGAATACCAACTGCTGACAGAAGCTGTGCAACTCTCACAACTCAGGTGCAGCACTACGTACTTTAATTCACCCAGACATTCAAGACTATATTCATAGGCAATGACACTGGCCTCTTCAGAAAACCTGTGGGTCATTTGTCCTGGTCATTCGGATTTAGAGAATATAACGGAATCTGTTCATGTGCAGTGGACTGTGAATGAGTTGGTGCTGTCCATGGTTCTACTCCATATTTTGACAATAAGGCTCCTAAGATTCATGGTGGTCCCGGGAACCTTACTGTTTCATGTGTGTCTGACAAGTGTACGTCATATATGACTTGGAGATGTTTTTTTCACTTACAAAGACCCAGTTTTGGACTGAGCCACATGGCTCCCAGTTTGGAGTTCTTCAAACCAAGTGGCAAATCCTTTTGACATTTCTTGGTCTATAAGAATAGAGGTAGATGTGTGTGTGTGTGTGTGTGTGTGTGTGTGTGTGTGTGTGTGTGTGTGTAGAAGGAGACAGAGAGGGA